AGGTGCGCTGCATTTCAAAACAACCAAATGCAAGCAATTTTGAAGCTGCAAATAGGTTGATTTTCTTTTTATACTTGGGTTTGAAATGTTTGCTTGGAATCTGATATGAAATCCTCCCAAAGGAACCATTCTTGGATGTGGCAGCTTGTTTCTGCAAATCAGCCCACAATTTGCATTTAACCTATTTCATAAATGAAACACTGTACAATTCTGATGAGCAATAATAAAAACTTTTTAAAAAAATTGTCCAGTTACAAATTTAGTGAATAAGTTAAATCAAAAGAACAAATAACTATTTTCTTTATCTCAAAGGTTAAAATTGAAGGAAAAGATTGAACGGAAGTCCTTTTTGCTGATGACCATATTTAATACAAAAATATGTTAAAAATAGAGCCTGTGCTTGAGGCATGCTTATAGAACATGGAAGTCATTGAGATAAGCAGAGCAGCTGGGTAATGAAAAGCTATATGCCCACCAAAACCAGGGTGGAACACAGTCCTAGTATTCCTAGTATAAGCTTTATTGTTTGAGGTACTAAATATTAACCATAAATACTATATTACTGCATCTAGCTCCCCCAAAGCAAGGCTCCCCTGGATATTCTACTTGGAGGTCAATTCGGACTCAGTTTCTGATCTAAGTCAAGAAGGGGCTCAAGTACATAAATGTCTCATGTTGAGGGCTTGGCCTTCCTTCACCTTCCTTCCTCCCATGAGCAGGGGCAGCTTCTGTGTGTCTTTTTAGGCACAGTGCTCCCAGGGCCCTGCTTCTTGGCCCTCCAGACCTGAAGATCTCATCTCATTTGCTGGAGCTTTCTCTCAATCCCGGCTTTAGATGCAGCCTTTTATGTCTTTATTTGGCTGTGCCGGGTCTGCATTGCTGCACAGATTTGTTCTCTGGTTGTGGAGGACGGGGGATTGTGGAGGCTTCTTTTGTTGCCGAGCACGGGCTCTAGGGCATGGAGACTTCAGTAGTCAGGGCATGTGCGCTCAGTATTTAAGGCTCATGGGCTCCAGGGCACAAGCTCAGTAACTGTGGCACATAGGCTCAGTTGCTCCATGGCATGGGGATCTTCCTGGATCAGGGATCGAATCCACATCTCCTGAAAGGCAGTCTTGACTGTCTGCATCCAGCACAACACATATGGTGCTCAGCTCCCAATCCCTGCCCATTCTCTACCTCACCCCCTGACAAGGACTAAAACCTGTCTGATTGTCAGACACTCTCTATTGGCTAAGATTTTACTTCAAAGACTAATCTTTAGTCTTGTTATCCTTGTACAAAGTTCTTCTTGGGCCTATTTACCTGGATAGCAACAGTTGATAACACAATGTAGATTTTTGATTTTATGTGAAATCCCCATTTTTCCATTTGAATTATACAGTTAATATTTTCTTTTACATTGACCAGACTTCCTAAAAATTCGAATCCACTCTTGTGTCTGCTTGTCTGAAACTGTACTGTCAGCATGTTTCAATTCCTCCAATATCTTGGCATTTCTAAGGCCAACCCCTCTAACCTATCCTCCTAGACTTTTCAGATAAATCACCATGCTTCTGCAATAAGTCATTAAGTAGAATACCCATATCCAATCAGTCATGAGATTCTCCAGGCAAGAATACTGAAGTAGGTTGCCATTTCCTTCTCCAGAGGATCAAACCCAGGTCTCCTGCAGTGCAGGCAGATTCTTTAACTGAGCTATGAGGGAAGTCCTTGCTTTCCTTACACGCTTAGAAGACAAAGGATATCATATAATGTATTGTAGACGCTATTCACATGCTAAGTCAGTTCAGTCATGTCCGACTCTTTGAGACCCTATGGACTATAGCCCCCAAGCTCCTCTGTCCATAAGGATTCTCCAAGCAAGAGAATGGCATGGGTTGCCATGCCGTCCTCCAGAGAATCTTCCTGACTCAGAAATCGAACATGCTTCTCTTAGGTCTTCTGCATTGACAGGCAGATTCTTTACCACTAGCACTACTATTTAAGAGAAACTCAAATTTAAAAATAAATATTTGAAAATCTGCTGACCCTTAGAAGAGTTATTCTTGGAAAGGGCCTGAGTTCACGCCCACATTTGGCTTGGCAGTAACTATTGCTATCTGCCTGTCATTATAAAAATAACTAGAATTGCTTGAATGTACCCTTGCAAGGAAACAATGCAATGGCACATTTTCACAGAGGGCAAGTTCATGTTGTTAGTGCAAAATAAGTGAAATTTGATTCTTCATTTTTATATGAGACACACATAAAACTGTGGAAATGTCATAGTTTCTCTCCTAAAAATGCATTAATAGGAAGAGTTAACTGTTTTGCTATCTCTCTGACAAATGTAATATCATAAAAAAAAGCTTTCTGAATATTTTACATGTATGTAGTCATCTGTTGCACAGAACCTAAGATTTCTATTAGCCTGTGAATTTAGTCTGAATTGATTTTAAAAATAAATATCATAAATTTTAGCCATAAGCAGGAAAACTGTTGAGAACGCTGAAACCAGTGTGTTCCAACTAGGCAATGGTGGTGATTTATTCAATGGATCTATCACTTGAGATCACAAAAGATACAGTCAAAACTCATCTGTCTTCCTGGATGATAAAACGTGAAGCAGTTCAGAATAAGGCAATAGAGAGTGGTAAGGTCTGTGGTGAACTAGAGATAGTGTCCTCTTCTATAAACAACTTATTTATCTGTTTATTTGTGTACTTGTATATACAAACATAAATGCAGAGACATACATCAATTATTTTGACCAAAAGATGTCTGTAAGCCAGATTCAACAGATTTGCAACAAAAGTAAGCAGCAAAGTCATCAAAAACAAAAGGTAAAAACAGGAGTATCTATTATAAAGGCATCCATGCTTTTTAAAAACTGGCTTGTTAAAATGTAGAGAGCAATAAGATCTTTCAGGTTGCGATGTGGAATTAATGATAAAAAATGCTGACATTTACCTCAGAGAAATTTTTAAAAGTCAAAGAAAATATGGGAAAAAAATGAATACAAAAATGCCATTTTGTGATTTGATTGAGAAGCAAATATGTCATAGATTTGAATCTAAACACATTTTTCATTAGGAATAATTTCTGAATATATCAAAACAGTATTGAAACATTATTCTAAAGTTGTTATGTGACTTTTCTTGAAGTTATTGTAAAAACAATTACATGGTGAAACAAGTATGCCTGTGTGTATGTGCGTGTGTTTGCACACACACCTGTATGTGTATATATTGTGCAATTCTAAGGAAGGATTTAAAGGTATTAAAAGCTATTATTTTTATCCTTTAAGAATTATTTGCTAGCTTACAGAATTAAATTGATGATAAAATCTTTGTAAAGTTGTAGGTATGGTATTTTTTTTGAAACAGTCCATATTCAAATTTATAATAAGAGCTACTTTTCGGAGTAATTCTTATAAGCCAAATCATTTCTGTAAGTTTTAGCAAATTAAACTTTTGGCATTATCCTATTTCACAGATGATGAAAGTAAGCTTTTGACAAGATAAGAAACATTTCAAAAATCACTTCCTAAGTAGGAGAAATGGTTTTGAATTTAAAACTTGGTTTTCTTGCTCTCTAAGTGCATTCTCTACCTGTTCTGACTACTTTATAATAGTTTTGTTTGTTATTCACCACATTAACTGATTTTTGCGGTGAACTTTTTTTTTCCTAGGTTGAACTAAACAAGTGATCATTAGCTTGGACAATAAGGATCTTTTTTTGGTTGTTGTGTGTATTGTATTCTAGATCTAATTAACTGAACTTGATTTGACTCAATATCTTGTCATATTTCATCATTGTTTAACCTTTGTAGATTTCCTGTATTGCTGAAATAATTAAAATAGAAATAAATAAGTTTAAAAACTTGAAAACAATGTTTACTGATAGGGTTATATGGAGGTTGTTGAGAAATGGAAAGATTGTTTTCTCTAGGCTCAAATAGGTCAGATACAGTGCAAATGACCTCATCTCATTTGTGTGTATCCAAAGCACAAATCTTAAGACAAATTTATTTGTGCTAATTTTATAGTCAGTTCAGAATGTTAGAACCAGTTGCCCCTCTCTGATTACTTTCATATTTAGAATTCATGTTTTGTGCATATAAAAGGAAGTTATTTTCTTTTTTCCAGTACTCTGAACATAATCACCCCAGGGTCTGTTCCTTTTTCTAAGACGGCTGCTGATTTTGGTGTTTAAAAGAGAAAGATGGGTCCTTCAACTTAACTGGTGAATGATTTTTGCGGCTGCTGAAAATTATACCTCAAGAGCTTTTTGAGATGTATTTTTACAAATGAAAATTAGCCTTATAGGGCAAATGTGACCTTCTCACTCAGAAGAATTGGCTGTCAAAGAGGAAAAGTGTATATTCAGGTTCGCAGAATATCGAAGTTTTGAAGTCCCCCAGGAGTTTATGAATTTTGAATATAAGCAATATCACCTAATTTATGAGAGAATGACTTTGCATATAAATCGATATATTATATTACAGTTTTGAGTAAACAAACAACCTTGAGTTATGCTAACTTTTCTATTTTTCTTACACTCATTTAGTCAAGAGATGACTAGTTCCATTCCCACTCCCTAGTCCCAAAACAGAAATGTTCAAAATGAACACTATGACCTTGATCACAGCAGACTGAAAGCAATTGCTGAATGATGATAATTCCTTTCCTTTTCTGCTAATTATCTCAGAGCTTTAAAAATTGTCTCAATCTGTCTTCCAACACTTTCTGGGTGAGGAGTTAGAAATTTAAGAAAAAAATAATCCTCCAAAATCTCTTGATGACTATCCTCAAGAGACTATCTTTAATCTCTAAGGTATTACACCAGATGTAAACACTATATTTTCCACAAGTAATAATCTCATAATTTCAGAATGAATATTTTAAAAAATAATCACAACCCAATTGGGTTACATCTTTCTATCCTGGGGGGGGGGGTCAATATAATTTAAATACAATGAAAGAGTAAATGGGTTCAGTTCTCACATTAAAAACCACCTTCTGGTGGCCACTCAAGTGTAGAATTTCCTGATTAGTCTGATTAGTCAAAGAGCTCCAATCTTAGTTTCCCCCTAGAAAAAAAAGTAAGATGGACAGTACATAACTTCATTATATTTATTATTTCCATAATCTTATGCTGGAAGGCTATGTGAACTTAGAGGTTTGAGTTTGATATATTTGTTAATACATGATTATGTATGTTCTGGAGAAGAAAATGGCAAGCCACTCCAATATTCTTTACTGGAAAATTCCACAGACAGAGGAGCCTGGCGGCCTACAGTCCATGGGGTCGCAAAGACTCACCCACAACTGAGCGATGAAACATGTGTATGTTCGGTCGCTCAGTCGTGCTTGAAATTTTGTGCCCCAGAGGTGGGTTCTTTACCACCAGGGCTACCTAGGAAGCTCTCCCTGGTGTATACCACAAGAGGAATCATTAAAAAAGTGAATAATCTTACATTAATGAACTAAGTAAAACAGAATAAAACTTTTCTCCGAGCAACATTTAAATCAATAAGTTAATACACTCTTGGAAGTGAGTAAGTTGATATTTGTTAGTTATTATAATAAGTATCCATGTGTAAGTTGTGGAAATACTATTTATACTTTATACGATGTTGATTTATAAACCATTTGGAGAAAGGAAGTGTTCATTTATTATGTATTTATCAATGATAGAGCCAGAGTAGCATTTTAGACATTTCAGAAATCGTTTTCCACTTGAATGGTAATGGCAGTGGATGAAATTCTTGATTACATTTTCCTGCTTTCAGGCACTGTGTGCTGTATTTATCTTTTGATGCATAGAAATGTAACTGCACAACAGCTTCTACTAGCCAATCATTTCTGTGACCTGTAATGCAGTAATACATTTTAATATGAAGGAAGGAAAGGAATCGAGGTCAATATTTCACATGCCTGTATGATTCAGCAATTCCTTTGAAAAAGGTGGCATGAATAAAAATGTAATTTGAGAAGCTAGTGAATAAAACAGCAAAAGGAAGAAGGAAAGGATTCAAGAAATAGGATTGGGAATGACCCATAGTGAAAGAAAGCAAAGTTAAAGTTGAATTTGAGCAGTGACAGAGGTTAATTTAGTCCTGATTAAAGACATTTAATTTCTGGGAACTCTTCTCATGTCATATATCTGAATATTGTCATCAGTTTATGAAAGTAGATCTACATATAGCTAGATAGAAAGACAGATAGATAGACAGACACACATATATATATTCAAATGCTTAACCAATATTTTTAAGATCCTATTATGCATAAGACATTATTCTAAGCCCTGGAGATATATTAGATTAAATCACTGAGTAATTAAAATAGATGAACAATAAAAACCTGAAGACGTGAAGAGGAAATGAGTGATAACTTTTCCAAGGGTATCCGCTTAACCTAGACAAAAATTTTAAAGCACTGTTCAGAGTTAGAGAGTGATTTAAGTATATAGCTTTTTTATTATTTAATATATACTTGCTCTTTCAGTTAGAGGTATAAATACCATAATAAAAGTTTCCATTTTAATAACTCATCTGTACTGGATTCTACAAAAAAATTATCGTCTCTCATCTATTGTTCTCTGGAGAACATTGTTTCTTTATACCATAAACAGAGAATTGCTTCTTCATTGCTAGAACTCAAAAGAAAAAGAAACTGGTCTTTCTAAGGTCATGGTTTAATAATAGTCAAAGAGAAAATATTAGCTAAAAAAACTTGCTGCCCTTTGTAAAAAGTTTTTCAACTTTACAAAGTTTCTTTTTTAAAAAGTCTTTTAACTACCAGCTAAATCTGGAACATATAATGTCCAATTGCTGTAAGTATGGAAGGTCCAAAGAAGTCATTTTAAGTCTTCTTTATGCCAACAGATAAAGTCAACTATGTTTGGTTATTTTAAAAGCCTTTTAAAAATATCTTTAATAAGATTCAACAAGAAGAAAGAACTTAATTAGAGTTTTATCTATGATTTCAGTATCAACACAAATAAAGTTAAAAAAAAAATCTGTTAGGCCTTTCTGACTTATCAGTGACTGATTCATGCCAATAAAGGATGATTTGTATAAATTTCTGAAATGTTTTAATTTTATAAGTTTTTAATTTATACAACCAATCACATACAGACAATGCTTTTCCAGAGTAAACCTTGTAACTCAGAGATAAGATCAGCAGTGTTCTGGGTACAATTTAACAATCAGCTCTCAGGGAGGGAGTGCTAGTCTTTGATGTTTGCTGATTTATAAGGGGTTAAAACTCCTACCATAGCTAACTTCAAGCCACCAACTTGACATGGGTGGGCATGACTTTAGCGACTATAATTCTGGCAATTAAATTATGATAAAATGTTTTAGTATCAGTCAGTTGATTGATTGGTTTTACTTTGCGTTTATTCAAAAAGCTCTTTCAAAGATTCTCTGCCCTAGAAAGGTTCACTATCTTCTATTCAACTTGAGAAAATAGGAGAGAGAAAATATATAGAGAGGACAGAGAGACAGAACACAGATTCTGGATGGAAGTGGAGTCACAGCCAATAGATGCCAAAAGTAGGCTGCGGCTCAGAGAAGTTGGCGTTGCCTTGCCGTGTGCATTCTGGTGTAAAAGTCATTCTAAGAAGGCCAAGAGGAGAGGAAAAAAGCTGGATTAAAACTCAAAATTCAAAAAACAAAGATCATGGCATCTGGTCCCATCACTTTATGGCAAATAGATGGGGAAAACAGTGGAAACAGTGACAGACTATTTTCTTGGGCTCCAACATCACTGCAGATGGTGACTGCAGCCATGAAATTAAAAGACACTTGCTTCTTGGAAGAAAAGCTATGACCAACTTAGACAGCATATTAAAAAACAGCCACATTACTTGCCGACAAAGGCCCATCTAGTCAAAGCCATGGTTTTTCCAGTAGTCAAGTATGGATGTGAGGGTTGGGCTATAAAGAAAGCTGAGTGCTGAAGAACTGATGCATTTGAACTGTGGTGTTGAAGAAGACTCTTGAGAGTCCCTTGGACTGCAAGGAGATCAAATCAGTCCATCCTAAAGGAAATCAGCCCTGAATATTCATTGGAAGGACTGATGTTGAAGCTGAAGCTCCAATACTTTGACTACCTGATGCAAAGAACTGACTCTTTGGAAAAGACCTTGATGCTGGGAAAGACTGAAGGCAGGAGGAGAAAGGGATGACAGTGGATGAAATGGTTTGATGGCCTCAGTGACTTGATGGACATGAATTTGAACAAGCTCCAGGAGTTGGTGATGGACAGGGAAGCCAGGCAATGGGGTCACAGATAGTCAGACATGACTGAGTGACTGAACTGAAGAAGATTAAGGTGCCTGCTTGACATAGAGAGGTTGGTACAAAAGGACCACATATATAGGGCCCTAGACCAGAGAGGTTTGCAGTGCAGAAGGGCTAAGATCTGACCCTTACAACCACTGGGCTTCTCCTGTGATGAAGGCAGTGTCAGAAGCCGCAGGAATCATATGCAAATCTCCAGTAAGACACCAAATAATGATTTCAGGGCTCTTAACCCCTCTCTATAAAAAAAAAAAAAGAAAGAAAGAAACCTAAAATCAAAAGATGTGGTGTATTAAATTCACTAATAATGAAAGCTAAAAGTTCTAGAAAACATAACATGTGCAAAACTCTGCAAAGCTCTAAACCTGCACATTAAAAGTAGGCTTTAGAGGAAATTCCCTGGCAGTCCAGTGGTTAGGACTCAGCCCTTTCATAGCAGAGGACACAGGTTCAATCCCTGGTCAGGGAACTTTTGACCAAGCCGAGGCATGGTCAAAACAAAACAAGGTAGGCTTTGGAGACTTCCAGTCTCTAGTCTGGCTTACAAGGAGCTGGGACATGTTCACTCCAATCTCCACCACAAGAAAAAAGCTCAACTAGAAATCAACTACCCTCTTCTGGTGTTATCAGAGAATTGTCACAGGGCAAACTATTGCCCATACACCCCACCCCCAAATTGGAGGAACAGGTGATCAAGAGATTCACAATTTACAGAGCAAAATTCCACTGAAACCAATACTCAGGCAGGAAAACTTCAACTATAATTGACAAATTGCTAGAGGCTTCCCTGTGTCTGGAAGATCCCCTGGAGAAGGGCATGCCAACCCACTCCAGGATTCTTAGCTGGAGAATCCCATGGACAAAGGAGCCTGATGGGCTACATGGTTTGCAAAGAGTGGGATGTGACTGAGTGACTAACACCCAGTGTGGACAAGACTGAGTTAAAAACTCCAGGGGGTCCCAGTCTTAGGGGAGACCTCTATTTTTGCAAGTTGCCTCTGGGAGTCCTAGCAGGAAGAAAACAGGAGGAGGAAAGATATGGTAGACAGGGAAAGAAGAGGAGGAAAGGATGGCAGGAAGGAAGGCAGAAAAAACAGGAGGGAAAAAAAAATCAATGGGCATAAAAATACATCTGCTTCTGGTTCTAAAAACTGTTTTAAAATTTTAGATCAAAGCTATGCAGGGCTTTGAAATGAGAGCATAACTTTTTAAGATGACAGCATTCAAGCAACCAACACATTTGTTTAGCTAAGTTTTCACATGATGAGCAACATAACTTGCCTTTTGTACAATATCCCTTCTATGTGTTCAAAGGAAATGATCATGAAAAGGAAAAAAAATAGGGCACATTTCTTTCCTTTATTTCTATTGTTACCAACCTCTGTGTGCTTCAGAATGTGAAACAAAAAATGATCACTGGGTAAATAGCAAGATTTCTGTCTTCCTCACTTTTATAGCTTTGAAACTTAACTCAGCATCTAAGAGAATGAAATGACAAAAGAGAAACAGAAACACCCTCTCTGACTCTATAAAGTCAGAGAATTCTGGAAAGCAATTCGATCTGAAGAACATTTAGAATCTTGAAAAAAGTCATCATTTACTGCCCAGCACAGATATCATTATATCAACGAGTACAGGTTCACCATCAGAGCAACATAGCCTTCAGGGAAATTCTAAGAGACCTATCCAGTTATGCCCTCAAACAGTTTCAACCCCTAGACTTCAAAATCATGATGATGAATATATGAAAAAGGGAAGTTTATAGCACACTGAAGAAAGAGTTCAAAATATTGCTGTCAGCATCAAACCAATGAGCAGAGACACTGAGCAGCACGGCAGTGCTCCAAGCGATTGTCACAATAGCAGATAAAAGAAGGAAGAAGCTTCTGGGGGAAAAAAAAATCCACAGCTATTTTCTTGAAAATATTGTTTAGTTTTATCCTTATGTTTATATCTTTTGCACTGTTAGTTGTTTGATTTTTTTTTAAAGTGCACAGAAATGCTGTAGGTTTCTTGCTTTTGTTTTTCACCCTTTTAAACAGGTCTCTCTTTTCAAAATTTTATATACCTCCAGGAAAAAAGTACACAAATGTGTGAGTGCTCAGGCTATAGCCCTATATTCTGCCCTTTGTTAATTAGATAGACTTTAAAACAGCAAAATATAGAGATAAATATGTCACATCAGTGTTTGAATAGGCAACTACTTTCAAGTATAACATAAAATTAATTACTTCAAGTTAGCAGATAAAGCAAGTTAAAGTCATAATTTAAATGAAAAACTAACGTCTACAAGGCAAGGGAAGAGGAAGACAGCACTATGTCTTAAGAAACAGATATTATAAAATAAAACACAATAGACTGTTGAAATTGAGTTAAATACACATAATTTATCATCTGAATCAGACTTTTTCTAAGGACAGCTTTCTAAAACCATATTCAGAAAAATGATCAAACAGTATGAGCTACATGTGCTTCTTTCAAAGTGAAAGTGAAAGCTGTTCAGTCATTTCTGATTCTTTGCTACCCCATGGACTATATAGTTCATGGAATTCTCCAGGTCAGAATACTGGAGCGGGTAGCTTTTCCCTTCTCCAGAGGATCTTCCCAACCCAGGGACTGAATCCACGTCTCCTGCATTGCAGGCTGATACTTTATCAACTGAGCCACAAAGGAAGCCCAAGAATACTGGAGTGGGTAGCCTATATCTTCTCCAGGGAATCTTCCTAACCCAGAAATCAAGTGAGGTCTCCTGCATTGCAGGCAGATTCTTTACTAACTGAGCTATCAAAGTCTATTTTAAATAGACCGGCAGCCAAGATGTGAAAAATAAAGAGCTACACCTCGCTCATAAAACATGTGGTTCCATGCTGGCTGCAGGCATTGCAGTGTGCAGGCATAGCATCCATCACTGCCACGTCTGAGCTCAGAAAATGAAGAGACAAACAGATTCACTGGGCTGCACTGGATCTTGAAGGCCCATGTATGCCTACTATGCCTCACTATCACCAGCTGCATTGTCACCACACCAGAGGGGTGAATGAATTCTAAAATCTGTAATACAAGACATCAGAAAGCAAAGTCATCTACTGCTCTCCTTGTACTATTCACTGGCTTTGGACATTTCACATGTAGGAAAATTCTTAATATATTCCAGATTTTATATATGTGTGTGTGTGTGTGTGTGTGTGTGTGCGTGCGTGCATGCATGCACATGCACACGCATGTGTGGGTGCTCAGTCATGTCCAACTCTTTGCAACTCCATGGATTGTAGCCTTCCAGGCTCCTCTGTCCATGGCATTTGCCAGGCAAGAATACTGGCATGGTTGCCATTTCCTTCTCCAGGGGATCTTCCTGACCAAGGGACTGAACCCTCGTCTCCTGTGTCTTCTTCAATGGCAGGTGGGTTCTTTACCAGCCTGATTTCTTTCAAAGGTTTCATGGTTATTTTTGGTCCAGTATGCAATTCTTGAAAAACAAATTCTCTACAATTAACATAGATTGCAAACAGGCATTTGAAATACATATTTACACATATACATATATATTCCCAGGTGGCATCAGTGGTAAACAACCTGCCTGCTAAGGCAGGAGATGCAAGAGACTCGGGTTCAATTCCTAGGTTGGGAAGATCCCTTGGAGATTGATTGGAGTGGCAACCCACTCCAATATTCTTGCCTGGAAAATGCTATAGACAGAGAAGCCTGGTGGGCACTACAGTTCATGGGGTGACAAGAGCCAGACACTACTGAATATGCACATATGCACACATAGACACACACACACACACACACACACACACACGCATATATATATTCTGTATTTAATCCATGTTAGTTGTAGATTTTTTTTTCAAGAATTGCATCCTGGACCAAAAACAATCATGACACCTTTGAAATAAATTGGGTTATTTGATTGCCACAGATGTGTAGATAGGTCAACCCTACTAAAAATACATCACAACAAGACTGTGTGTTGTTATTGACTTGGAAAAAAATTATCCTTGCTTTGTGGGAAATATGAGTAGAAATATTTCCCCAGAGAAAGGAAAAAAGCAAGTTTATTTCAGAAATGAGTGGGAAAAGATTCTCCTTCAGGGACTAAAGGGACCATGAACTGCTGTTAGCAGAGGTAATAGGAACCTGCGAAGTACTCGTTACATCAGTGCTGCACTGATTAATACAGATGTCTGGCCTGTCGATAATGTGACTCTACCAGTGGGCACCAACTGACCTTCAGGCCAGAGCATTAGTTCCAGGATAACCCACTCAGTCCTCTGAACAGGAACTGACACCAGCATAGCCAACTCCGAGGGAAAGTGGGACAGATGGATGCTGCGACGACAAAACCACTGCTTGAGGGTTTTTCACAAATCCTGGTTCCTGGACTACTCCCCTAAAGTCATTTGAGGTACTTGTTAGAAGTGCAGATTTCCAAGTTTCAGATAGATCTTTAGAATGAGAAAGTATGGACTTTCTTTGAGGAACTGGAAACTTGACTACACATTCTGGATGATTTTTGTATTCACTGAAGTTAGGGAATAAGTGTACTTGTATGTATGGATCAACTCAATGGATGCATTTAGGGACAGGGTTTTCAGGTAAATTATCTCTGTAGAGAAGAGTGATTGGAATTACAGCCTAAGCTGATTATAACCATGTAAGAGGCAAGGGGGCAAGCAATATGTAAATCTAAGAACAAGTCTTCATATTATAGTGAGAATAAAATTATTTAGCACTCCCTGCATTTTTCAAGATAAGAGACACCTTTATAAACTCTCTGCTTACTATATGTTTCCTAAATTTCTAGATAGGAACTTAAGCCAATTATAGTATGACCACTTACTCAGTTACAATGATATAAACAATGCATGTAACTTAAGCTCATTCCCTTTTCAATCTTATACAAAAATTGAAAATACATACATGTCACCATTCATTAATTCTTCTACTCCTTCCTGCCACACTGGTAGACAAGAACATTACAGTCACTGGAGATACATGCTGTGTTTTGGCAGTGGGTAATTCATTCTAGATAGAAAAAAAAAATTATGTAAAAGTTCTACTTTCCTTGTCCTGATTTCATAAACATCAAGTAACTCCATGGTTACAATTTCAAGTTTTCTAAATTATTTCATACTTGGCAAATCTATGTAGTAATGTAATGTAAACTATTCGTTGGTATTATTTTATACATGAGTCGCCTATGAGATTAGTTTGTGTTAATTCCATTACATTAGCAACTTTCAACAGCTGTTTAATCATGTTTTATTTATGTTGGTGCAAAAGTAATTGCAGTTTTGCATTGTTGAACTTTGTGGTCTGATATTGGAATACATTCTTAAATAAATGTGGTTATGTTATACATCATTTTAATGTGCATTTATCACTTTATGTTTTTTTCTAATGACTTATTACATGCTGCTTATTTTATATTTATTTAGACTAGGGAAATGGGATTAGATAAAAGTAAATTTGAGTGATTTTCTTATTCAAGTTCAAAATAGGTCATAAAGCAGTGGAGACAACTCAAAACATCAACAACACATTTGTCCCAGGAACTGCTAATGAATGTACAGTGCAGCAGTGGTTCAAGAAGTTTTGCAAAGGAGACAAGAGCCTTGAAGATGAGGCTCACAGTTGCTGGCCATTGGAAGTTGACAGTGACCAACTGAGAGCCATCATTGAAGTTGATTCTCTTACAGCTACATGAGAAGTTGCCAAAGAATTCAGTGTCAACCATTCTATGGTCATTCACCACCTAAGCAAATTGGAAAGGTGAAAAATCTTGGTAAGTGGGTGCCACAAATAAAAAAAATGGTTGCTTTGAAGTATGATCTTCTTTTATTCTGTGCAACAATGAACCATCCCTCTATCTGATTGTTATGTGTGGCAAAAAGCGGGTTTTATATGACAACCAGCAAAGACCAGCTCAGTGGCTGGACAGAAAAGAAGCCCCAAAGCACTTCCCAAATCCAAATTTGCTCAAAAAAAGGTCATGGTCACTGTTTGATAGGCTGCTGCCCATCTGATCCACTACAACTTTCTGAATCTCAGTGAAACCATTACACCTGAGAAGTATGCTCAGCAAGTCAATGACATGCACCAAAAACTGCAATGCCTGCAGCCAGCACTGGTCAACAGAAAGGGCCCAATTCTTCTCCATGACCACACCAGACCTCATGTCACAGAACCAGTGTTTCAAAAGATGAATGAATCAGGCTATTAAATTTTGCCTCATCACCATATTCCTGACCTCTCACCAACTGACTACCACTTCTTCAAGCATTCTGACTGTTTTTTACAGGAAAAATGCTTCCACAAAGAGTAGGAGACAGAAAATGCTTTCCAGGAGTTTGCTGAATCTTGAAGCATGGATTTTTACATGACAAGAATAAAAAAACTGATTTCTCATTGGCAAAAATGTGTTGATTGTAATGGTTATTTTGATTAATAAAGATGTGTCTGAGCCTAGTTATGATGATTTAAAATTCACTGTCTGAAACCACAATTTCTTTTGCACCAACCTTAATAGATTTCTAGTCTAGTACATCAACTCCATTTGATGATCCAAGAAGTGTAAGACTCTGGAATGATTTACAATGTTTGCTTAGTATCTAGATAACATCATTACCAACTCCACTTCTTAAATGCATTACCTCTTATATTGTTTAAGAAACTGGTAGAGAAAGGCTTCATTGGTTTAAAAAAAACAAAAACTTGAACAGTACAGGATCAAAAACAACACTGTGAAAATACTTTTGCATGGATCTCCATGCTAATAATAAAAAGAACCATTTCAAGAGGTAACCACTCCTTTTTTATCTTACCTTTACATTAGTAATGTGATAGTATGTATATGGAAGTTTTGAGATGGATTATTTTTATCTTACTTCTCTAACAGTAGAAAACAAAGAGTGCTTCTTAAAGAATATATGTTTCATACATTCATATAGAGTGTAATTTCCTTGTACCTTCATGCTGCACTTTAATATTTAGAATCAGGGACTATTTTTATTTATTCATTCATTGATTTTTTTCCCCCAGCAAACATTCATTCATTCATCCAGTGAATATATTTAAGTACTTATGAGAATATCAGGCCCTGAGGATTCAATCAACTACAGATGAATTCTCCCCTCTGTGCTGTAATTCACAAAAGAAATAATACTGACCTTTAAAAACTAAAGGCTGAATGTATTCATTTCCTCATCTGAAAGCACTTGTCCAGTATTTACTAGGTTTCAGGCTGTATTCTAGGTTTTAGATCTAGGTTTTAGATGGGTTTTAAATATTCAGATCATGTAACCTAGGTACTTCCATACCTACGTCTGTCTCCTTAAAAATTGATAGATTCTGATATTTCTAGGGAAATAAGAAGATTTGATCTCCTGCATGTACCTGGGCTCTACTATGTAATATTGCACACCATATATAAAATATTAATATAGTACTTACATACAGTAAACTTCTGAAGTGTGGTCTTTCTGATAGTTAGCCAGTGAAGACCCCTGAAGTGTACTTTCTCATTTAGGACAATTCACTGCCCTTAAAGTGTCAGCTACCCAGCCCAAATAGACACAACAAGTCTATGTGTCAAAGTAAACAACAGACATTATAACAATGTGTCCTTATTCCTTCTGCTTCTGATCTTTCCTTCCCATGTGTGAACATTGATCATATTCCAGACAAAATCCCATATCTGTCTATGAGCCTTTATGTTCCACAAGCCCTACTGATTCCCTGCAGAAGATCAACCGTCTACCAACAATAGGAAGTTTCTCCTCTTGTTCCTTTTCTGAACCTTAGGCCTGAAGTTTAATTCAGAACTTCAGTAGAACAGTTGTGTATGGTCAATTCTGCCCACACATTTAGGTTGTAAGTGGAACATGGTGCTTCAAACTATGAGCAAGAGCTTCCTGATTGCATACGTCAATAAATAACACACCTCCTATAGAAAAATATTTTTCAGAGACAGCGAAGCCTAATCTCACGTCAAGGACTCTAGTCATATAGCATGGTTGGCCGTGGTTCTCCACTTTTGTACCAAATCTTATTGGGCTTTTCCCTGCTCATGTTAAAGTCTGGTACACCACAAAAATGGAACTTACTCTTGGTTTCTGATCCTTTGCTCACTTAATCAGTAACATCCATAAGACAGTATGAAGAAACTCAAATGAACTTTTTTGCCAACCCTCTATTGAACGGATAGAAATTGCCTATTTACTGAGTGTCAGACACTATTCTAGAATCTGGATGTTCACTAATATCTAAAACATTAAAGGCATATTCTCAGAATAAATTTTTTAGCTATCAAACAAGAGACATAGACCTTAGTTCATGCAATGAAGAAGACTAAGATTTAAAGGCAAAAAAGAGGCTAAGCTTGGAAAAAGTGGATCAGTGAGAGGAACACCAGGAGAGTTTGAAGGCATAGACACAAAGGGAAGAGAATGTTTCAACATATTTTTAATGTAAATGAAAAATGTAGCACGTAGAGAAATGGAAAATGCTCATTAGATTTAATGACCTAGAGATTATCAGTGACCTTGTTGAGAACTATCTGGTGGTGTGATGGGAGTGATAGTGAATCCAGACTGAAATGTTCTGAAGAGTAAAGGAAGACAAAGAAGTAGACCTAGGGCGAATAGACAGCACATGGGCAAGGGAGGAGGAGAGCCGGGCTATGTGGGGATGAGTAGATGACTTGATTTTGTGGTTGGGTCTACAAGGAAAGACTTACACATGTTTAAAAATAAATAATAGGTTTTTCTCTTATGCTTTTGGAAGCAAGTGCATGCTGCTCTCATCAATTTTATTTGTCTCTGTCCACAAGAGCCAGCCATCTTAGCCCCACGTTCTCTCATAGATGGGTTTTGTGGGGCCCTGCCTGCTTCTTTACTTACATTGCTCCTTTCTGCAGCAAAGCCTCATAAGTGAGCTTTCAGTTTCTGGATTGTATTCGTGTATTCAAATTACCGGCAGAGGCTGCCCATTCTCCATCTTAGCACAGATTCAAAATGAGGGACACTCTCCAAACAGAGGATAGGTTTATTAGAATATTCTAAGAGTCTAAGAGCCCANTGCTGTAGTTCATGGTGTTTCAAAGAGTTGGACTCGACTGAGAGACTGAGCTGAACTGAACTGAAAAAATGTGAAATGAAAAAATTCTTTAACCTTCTAAAATATTAATTAGATAAACTGCATTTTATTCTTCAAAGCAGTTTTATGTATCTCACTCTTCTCAATAAGTATGTGCTGTGAGCTAAGTTGTTTCAGTCATGTCTGACACTTTACGACCCCATGGATGATAGCCCACCAGGCTCTTCTGTCTATGGGATTCTCTAGATAAGAATATTGGAGTGGATTGCCATGCCCTTCTCCAGGGGATCTTTCCAACCCAGGGATCAAACCCTCATCTCTTTTGTCTCCTGCATTGGTAGGCAGGTTCTTTACCACTAGTGCCACCTGGAACGCCCATACATAAGTCAAAACTCATCCAATTATACACTTTACATATGTGTGGTTAATTGTTTACAAAAGTGGATGAGATAATAAATAACACTTTAAAAAAGAATTCTATTGAATAAAAGGTATGACGATCTTTTCGTTTGAAAAAATAATTATGATATCTTTCTTGTTAACTTCTGCTAGTGCCTTATAAAGGTTTTGCTGGATGTGCCAAGTAAGAGGTAGATTTTTATCTTATTTGAAGCCAAGGGGTATCTCAGATTTGCAGAACAGGGAGAAAGCTGAGGGGGTCACTCTAAGATGGCACACCAGAGCACTTAGGAGCCAGTTAAGTTTTCCTTTTCCGCTTTATAATTAATTTAATTTTGTTATCTTAAAGATTTACTTAAATCTGTTTGCTGCACAACCTTGCCTTATTGCGACTGAAGAGAAAGACCTAACCTTCAGGACGCAGCTGACCACGGAAACAGGATTACACCTGAAAGGAGCAGCTCCCAGATGCTCAGGGGAGCAGACTGACAAAACCAAAGGAGTCTAGTGAAGGGACAGGAAATACGCCACAGCAAGGAAACGACAGAGCCTTGTCGGAACTCTTCAGAAATAACCAAGGGGGAGTTGGACCTGTGCTCATGAGAGATAGAGCTGTAGCTGACACCGTTGGTGCCCTCTGAGTTCCCTGGGACTGGAGGACGATGCCTGCAACCACCTCCTAGCTTCATGCAGTTTGCAGTTGACTCCTCCTCTCCGCCCCTCTTAGAGGCGGAGCTCTTGCCCGGGTGCGGAACCGGAAGTGCCCGAAGCTCGGGGAATTTCCGCCTGGAGCCCAGCCAGGACCCTTAGCAATGACTGTCTAGCATAAGAAACTCAGAAGCTTGTCTTTTCTGCCTCTAGCCTGGACAATCCCAGGGAATTATTACATTACAGAGCTCCTTAAGAACTTGGGCTGAGTTTTGGTTTTCACTGAAATCACACAACTGTTTGCTTCTTCCCGAAGATCTTAGCTTCTCCTGCTTTCTCCGGGGCTTGGTTCTCCACTTTTGTACCAAATCTTATTGGGCTTTTCCCTGCTCATGTTAAAGTCTGGTACACCACAAAAATGGAACTTACTCTTGGTTTCTGATCCTTTGCTCACTTAATCAGTAACATCCATAAGACAGTATGAAGAAACTCAAATGAACTTTTTTGCCAACCCTCTATTGAACGGATAGAAATTGCCTATTTACTGAGTGTCAGACACTATTCTAGAATCTGGATGTTCACTAATATCTAAAACATTAAAGGCATATTCTCAGAATAAATTTTTTAGCTATCAAACAAGAGACATAGACCTTAGTTCATGCAATGAAGAAGACTAAGATTTAAAGGCAAAAAAGAGGCTAAGCTTGGAAAAAGTGGATCAGTGAGAGGAACACCAGGAGAGTTTGAAGGCATAGACACAAAGGGAAGAGAATGTTTCAACATATTTTTAATGTAAATGAAAAATGTAGCACGTAGAGAAATGGAAAATGCTCATTAGATTTAATGACCTAGAGATTATCAGTGACCTTGTTGAGAACTATCTGGTGGTGTGATGGGAGTGATAGTGAATCCAGACTGAAATGTTCTGAAGAGTAAAGGAAGACAAAGAAGTAGACCTAGGGCGAATAGACAGCACATGGGCAAGGGAGGAGGAGAGCCGGGCTATGTGGGGATGAGTAGATGACTTGATTTTGTGGTTGGGTCTACAAGGGAAGACTTACACATGTTTAAAAATAAATAATAGGTTTTTCTCTTATGCTTTTGGAAGCAAGTGCATGCTGCTCTCATCAATTTTATTTGTCTCTGTCCACAAGAGCCAGCCATCTTAGCCCCACGTTCTCTCATAGATGGGTTTTGTGGGGCCCTGCCTGCTTCTTTACTTACATTGCTCCTTTCTGCAGCAAAGCCTCATAAGTGAGCTTTCAGTTTCTGGATTGTATTCGTGTATTCAAATTACCGGCAGAGGCTGCCCATTCTCCATCTTAGCACAGATTCAAAATGAGGGACACTCTCCAAACAGAGGATAGGTTTATTAGAATATTCTAAGAGTCTAAGAGCCCACGCTATATATGGCAAATAGCCTCCATTTGCCTCTATCCAGCACACAAACATGACAAAATTTGACACTCTTAATAACTTTTTTCATAAAAGAGTGAAATAGTACAGAATGTGGCAAATGATGGAGGACTGCTGCTGTTATTGTTTAGTTGCTAAGCCATTCCCGATTCTTTGCGACCCTATGGACTGTTGCCTGCTGAGCTCCTCTGTCCATAGGATTTTCCAGGCAGGCATACTGGAGTGAGCTGCCATTTCCTTCTCCAGGGGATCTTCCTGTCCCAGGAATCAAACTTGGGTCTCCTGAGCATCATGAGATCCTAGTTCTGCCATGGAGAAACTGTGATTTCTAAGAGTCGCTTGAAGTCTTAAGACTTAATTTCCTCTTTTGTAAAATAATTTAACGATGATGTGTGGACTGGATGTCATACCTAGATAGAGCAGGGGGAAAAAAGTGCTGATTTGTAAAAGGCAACAGTTTCTACATTCTAGGACCTAAGCTAAAATTTGGTTTGGATAAGCTTTTTATGTGAATATTTAGAGATGCAGTGATAAGGCCAGGACTTAGCTAATGTTTCTTCTATAAAACATGAATATAGAAAGTGATCCAGGTGTGTAAGACTGGACTGGGAGA